TGAACTCCACAATAGGGACACAGTGTTTTTTTTTCTTGCTATTGTTTTTAATGTATTTATGATGTACTATGTGATTTGTTTTGTTTCTTTTGTATGTTCTTCCCCCCATAGTAAAACCACTGTTTTCACTGTATTTGATGTTAGTGCCCTGCATCTTGCATATACATTATTCTAATTTGGGGAGGGGAAGGGAAATAACAAAATGCTTAAATAAGGATACAGGTTGACTCATTGTAACAATGAGATATATAAGACATTATGTTGAAAATGAACTTTACAACTTGGGGGGGTGGGAAGAATAGGGAGGTGGGGAGGAAAAGGATGGTAAGGGAAAAACAAAGGAAGGGGTAACAATGCTCAATAGGAAATGGGCTTAGTACCTTACTGATGTAATGTAACCCCTCTGTACAGTATCTTTACAATAAAAATATACTAAAAATAAATAAAAGTTAAAAAAAGAAATTGTCTTTTTATTTTGGTTTGTCAGTAAATTTCCTTCCCTCATGTCTCTGTTGTAGCCTCGATTTTATTCAATTTTTTCTCTGCTACTATCTCTTCTCTCTCTTCTATTTTAATTTTCATTATTTGTTTATTTTTTGTTTGGCAATACTGAAGTTTGTACTCCTTGCACTTGCTGGGCAGGTGCTCTACCATTTGAATTATAGCCCTAGTCCTTCATTGCTGTTTTTTTTTTTTTCTTCTGGTCATGGGGCTTGAATTCAGGTTCTGGCAGCTTCTCTTGCTGAAGGCTAGTGCTCTACCACTTGAGCCACAGCTCCACTTCCGGCTTTTTTGGTATTTTATTGGAGATAAGAGTCTCATGAACTTTCGTGCCCAGGCTGGCTTTGAACCATGATCCTCAGATCTCAGCCTCTTGAGTAGATAGGATTACAGGTATGAGCCACCAAATACTTACTTTTAAGGCTATAATTATATTGCTGAAAGGTTATGTGTGTGTGTATGTGTGTGTGTGTGTGTGTGTGTGTGTGTGTGTATGTGTGTGTATCATTACTGGAGCTTGAACTCAGAATCTTGAACATTCACTTGTCTTTTTTACTCAAACCTGATTGATGTTCTACCATTTGAATCACTCTTCCACTTCCTTAAACAAATTTTAAATGGGGCTTTTTTGTTGTTGTTGTTGGTCTTGGGTGTGAACTCAGGGTCTGGATGCTGTCCTTTAGTTATTTTTGTTCAAAGCTAGCACTCTACCAATTGAGCCACAGCTCCACGTCTGGCTTTTTGGTGGTTAATTGGAGATGAGAATCTTAGGAACTTTCCTGCTGGGCTGGCTTAGAGCCATGATCCTCAGATTTCAGTCTCCTGAGTAGCTAGGACTACAAGAGTGAGCCACCAGTGTCTGGCCTCATCATATTTTAAAATCCATAAATAAAAATTACATTTAATTATGGTATGCAACATATGTTATATATATGCACACATACACTAAATCAAGCTAATTAGTGTATTAATTCTCAGTATTTTCTGTGGCATGAATACTTAAAAATCTCAGTGATTTTCTTTTGTAGCTCCATCACTCTTCTTTTGCCTTTTTATTGTTATTATAAAGGTGATGTATAAATGATAAATTACATTGCTATTAAGTATAGCTATCATGTTACACAATAAGTCTTCAGTTATATTAGCTTTCCTATAATTATGGTTTACTTTTATAAGTAAATCATAAACTCACCCCTGTAATTAAAAACCTGCAGGGTAAGGTCAGGGAGTACATATTTTGGGGACTTTCATGCCAGTGCCCAAAGGTACTGGCACAGTTTCCAGACTGCCTTGATTTACACAGAGGCTTATTTTAATTCTAATCATTTTTCTTTTTTTTGGGTCCGGTTGTGGGGCTTGAACTCTGGGCCTGGGCTCTGTCCCTCAGCTCTTCAGCTCAAGGCTAGCACTCTACCACTTGAGCCACAGCACCACTTCCCGCTTTTTTCTTTTTTCTTATGTGGTGCTGAGGAATCGAACCCAGGGCCTCCTGCATGCAAGACAAGCACTCTACCACTGAACCACCTTCCCAGCCCCTCTAATCATTTTTCTTGCCTTTTAGTTAGCATGTAATTGTACCTATTTATGGGGTGTGTTATGTTAATTTGATGCATTTTGTAATACAACCAGGAAGCTTCACACACAGGCCTTTTGAGTTTTCTCTGCCTTGGTTGCACAGGCTTGAGTATATCCTTTTTGATTTTGTCTGTATAACATTGGGAGAGAGTCACATCTCCCCCTATAATAACATCTCCCCCTATAAGTGATCGAGTAATTTGTTTATAAAGACTTTTCTTGAAGAAAAGACAGCTTCTGAGATGAGCTGAATGTGGTGGGCAGTGTGTGGACAGGAGATCTATGAGCAATCAGAGCACAATATTTTGAATAAAATCTCCCTGAACATTCTGGAGCTATATTCTTACAATAGGATAAGCCCTTTCCCCCCCAATTTTTGACTAACATTTATTACATAGCAACTTTAATATATATGTGTGACTATCATTATTTACATAGCAACTTCAATACATATATAATGTGTGTACATTATAGACACACCCTTTTTTGTGCCATCCTAGGGTGGCTTGAGTGCTATCCTTGAACTATTTTGCTCAAGGTTAGTACTCTACCACTTGAGCCACAACTTCATTTCCAGATCTTTTGGGCAGTTAGTTGGAGATAATGAAGGGTTAAAGTTTTGAGGCAGTGACCACTTGTTGCTTGTTTCTAGCAGAGCAACACCTGGTGGTAATCCAAACACCTGGTTGGTTGTGAGCCTTTATAAACCCTGCAAATCTTTAGCTCGGGGCTCTCCTCCTAGGCTCCGCTGTGTCGGAGTATAGGACGAGGCCCAAGCTGCAGCCCTTTTAAATAAAACCTTAAAACAGCTGTAGAGTCCTATTCTCGGTAGGAGTCCCGTGACCTGGGCACAACAGATAAGAGTCTCATGGACTTCCCTACCTGGGTGGATTTAAACCGTGATCCTCAAACCTCAGACTCTGGAGTAGCTGGGATTACAGTTGTGAGCCACAAGTGCCCAAATCACTTTAAAATCACAATAGTCCAAAAGCTATGTACATATGACCATATGAAATGATGCTAATCAAAATAAACTCCAAGATGTGGAAACAAGAAGTTTTCTTTTCTTTTCTTTTTAGTGTACTATTTGTAGTTGTTTCTTTTCTTCCTTTGGTTCATCATTCTCTGTGGTCACTGTTTTTGATTTCTGTACCCTTTGTTTTGTATATAAGTTTATTTAATTTAGGGAAGGAAGGGGAACCACAGAAATGGTGGGACAAAGGGTGAGCCAATGCAACAGCAATACTCACTAGACACTATGTTGGGAATGAACTTTACAACTTGCTGGGAAGAGGGGTCGGGGGAAGGAAAGTGGAAGAAAATGAGGGGAGTGGTAACACAGTTCAAAAAGAAATGTAGACATCACCTTACTTATGTAACTGTAACCCCTCTGTACATCACCTTTATAATAAGAAATATTGAAACTATATAAATATATATAATGCCTAGCACAATGCTTGACACAATACAACTTTATATATATGAACAACTAAAAATTATTTTGTAACATAGAGGGAAGTAAATTTCTCCAACATACCCTTTCTCAGTATCACCTAGGATTATGAATGCACTGAGTAGTTAGAGGAATGATGGACTAGAAAGACAGGACAGTTTATATGCTTTAGGTAAAGTTTGGTGCTGTGTGTGTGTGTGTGTGTGTGTGTGTGAGTGTGTGTGTGTGTGTGTGTGTATCACTGGCTTCAGGTCTTCTGATTCTACTTTTTCTGCAAAATCAAAAGAAGCCTTAGCTATTTTGGTAACTGTCTAATGTTTGTGCTAAGAAGTTCTTTCTTACAATGGAGAGAAATCTCCATTATATCTCTGCAGATACCGAAGAACCTAGCATCTGTCAACAGAATCGATTCTCTGAATCTCTGAATCATATCTACACTTTTGGTCTCATGCCAAGTTTGATTCAGGTTGATTATCTGACTTGCAGCAGTAGAGACTGTCACTGAGTTCTTGAGATGGCACTTGTCTTAGCAAGATCAGTTAGCCATTTGTAAGCAATTAATAGTATCAGATCCTTTCTACTTTGGAGGGCATAAGCTTCCTAGTGGCTCTGATATCTATCTACTCTGGAGATCACTTTTTCTTCTCTGCATTTGACGCCTTAAAGATTGACTGATTTACTAACCTTGTTCCCACACAATATTACCTCACACAAAGGGACTCATTTTATGGAAAAGAAGAGTTAATGATGGATCCATTTGTCCTCTCATATATAGACCATGTTGCCCAGAAGCAATAAGCTGAATAGAATGGTGAATTGACCTTCTTTCTAAGTGTCAAACCAATGGTTCTCAACTGGTAGTGCTTTTCCCCACTCTTTGGGTACTGTGGATCAGTGTTTGCAGACATTTTGGTTGCTACACTTTGGTGGTAGAGAGTAGGATATTGCTATTGGCGTGTAGTAGGGGGAGGCCAGGGACAGCCCAAAGATTCCCATATCTTGTTTGCTTACAAGATCACTGTGTCTCTCTAGCACTCTGACTCTGTCTCTCCCTATCTCTGTCTTTAAGTATTTCTGTTTTTCTGTTTCTGTCTCTTGCCCAGTCTTTCTCTGTTCCTCTGTCTTATTCCCCCCCTCCGTTTCCCCTCCCAAATCTTCAAATTGTTTTGGTTGGGAGTCAGGTTTCTTTTTTTTAATAAGTTTTTTTTTATTGTGAAAATACTCTACAGAGGGGTTACAGTTACATGAGCAAGGTAATGAGTACATTTCTTATCAAGCATTGTTGCCTCCTCTTTTGTTTTTCCCCTACTATCCCTTCCCTCCCACCTCCTCAACTACATCCCCTCCTGCCTAAATTGTAAAATTCATTTTTCAACTATTTAAACAATTTGTTTTTTGAGAATCAGGTTTCTGTGTGCACAGAGAACAGCCAAGAGAGGAAACACATATTGAAATTTGGATCTTTATTAAATTTCACAAAGATTGTGATGTGTAGGAACCTTCTAGTGGCTCAGGGAGGTGGCAAGACTTCAGCTAGAACCAGAGCTGGACCAGTGTAGGTGGCACAGAGGACCTGCTCAGCTCTAGTTCCAGATCTCATGTTAGGTTGTCTGGGCTCTTGGATTAATTCTCCCTCAAGATCTTGTTGATCCAGTCCCGGTAGTAGGAGATTCGGGTGAAAACAGCAGGGGGGCTCACATTAATATGTACATAGGATGCAATGCCCTGGGCTATCCCAGCACACAGAATTGGGCCTCCGGAGTCCCCCTAGGAAGGAGAGAGAAAACAGGAGATGAGCCAACAAGTCCACCACAGCAGGTCCACCACACAGAGTTAGCCCCAGATGCCTGACTCCTCTACTTATATGTGTAGTCTCCTTTCCTGGGGCAGACATGCAACTTCTTCCTATTACTCCATATATGTCTTGTACAGCAGACAGGATGCACGGTCAGAGAATGTCCTGCATCATGGGAGGAGGGCCACTTTCAGTTTCGTCACTCCTGTGTTCCCCCAAATGTTGTCCTTGGTGACAGTTATCTTTATCTATCTGATGCTACTAGCATTCTGACCCCTGAGTAGTGATGGATGGAGAACATAGTTAAAGGATCACCTTGTAAACATTCTTTATCTTTGTGGGATTGCCCACGCACAGCTGACGCTTGTGGTTAAACTTTGGGAAGTGTTTGCAGGCCCAGGGAGGTAAGAGTCTCATCTTCACCTCTTGCAGAACGTCAGAGCCGGGCCCATTCACATTTGTTTGTCCCCAGCCAACTGCCCGGCACATTCTTCCAGGGGGGATGAAGTTGAATTGGGATGGGAGGGGCAGTGTTCCCACAGCCAGAGTCAGTTTGGCTTTCTCCTTCAACTGTGAAAGGAATGAGGGGTTGTCAGCACAGACCAGGGGCTATGAGGTAGTTTGTGGCAACCCAGGCAGGGCAGAGCCAAGAGCTTCATGTTAGAGCCAAACCACAAAGGAATAGCGAAGGAGTACCATTTAGACACTGGGCAAGGAAAGTTAAGCTGAAGACAAAGTCTATAAAGAGGTAGAAAAGGAGGAGAAAGATACTGTCACCTTTAGTAACATGATATCGTGGACAATGAAATTATCATCATATTTTGGATGAGGGAATTGTTTTTCAACCTCAATCTTCTGCCACGTGTCTTCGTTCCCTGTTGTGTTGTGGGCTCCTAGGGTGACTGTCATGAACCTGTTAGGAGGAAGAAGGAAGGACAAACACAAACAAATGCTAGCTAGAGGTTTCTCCTGACATGTCTATTTTCAGTAGAGGCTAGAATCTTTCACTGGGATAACAGACTCTACCTGCAGTAGACTTCCTTTTTGGGGTCTCATATTTCAGTCAGGGAAGATTCAGGGCAGAATGTCTAGGAATGGCTAGGGAATGAGCCATGGAAGAGCTTGGGGGATAGGGCTCAAGGAGGCCTATATGGACTCCAGTCTTCGAGAGCAAGAGATGGCAGAGAAAAGGGGAAGAGGTGGTGCTCTGTGAATCCCTTTTTCCACCTCCCATAGAAAGGGTGTGCTCTGGACCCTGGGCACTAATGAATGATGTTGTTGAAACTGCATGAAGGAAGTGGCCCAGAGAACTGGGTGTGGACTATAAAGTGCATCTTATATATTGGAGCGGGGGTGAAGAGAGCTACTTTTAGGAGACCTTGAAAAGGGCCTCCTTTTTCCTTTATAGGATGCTGTACTCAGAGTGACTGAAGCTCAGGGCATCTATGATAAGCGCACATTCATTAAGCCCAATTCTTTTTTTTTTTTTTTTTGGTCCTGAAAGTGGACTCAGGACTAGAAACCCCATTCAGGCTCCTCCATAGGCATGTCCCAGCTTGTTACTCCAGTTGTTTGTCTTCAAAAGTGAAGATCTTACTTATAGTCTCACCTTCCTGCACAGTGAGCAGCTGTTAGCACAAAGTCTCGCCTGATCAGGAAACCACCACAACCATAAACTTGACCTTGGGAATGGACAATGTCCAGGTAGGCCATGTAAGGGCGGGAGTGTGGCTTGCATTCTGTGCCCCCGATGATCTCCTCTGAAACAGAAAAGCCCAAGCCATGAAGACTGGCATTGATGCTTTATCTTGAGAATGCACAGTTGGGTTAAGGTTGGGAGAAGTTTCCCTTGAATCTCACTCTTGTCCTGATTTCTGGCCATCACCCACTCTCTTTATCTGTTTTTCCCTACTTACAACCTTCACCTCCATTCTTATTCTTTCCTCTGGACACAACAATCAACCTGCCTTAGAAGCCATGTAGACTTTTTCTTTTTCATTTCAGATTCCCTCCACTCCCACCTTGCCCCGTCTCTGTATAGAGCATGTGATGCAGGTACCTGTCCTGGTCTTCTCATTGTCCATGAACAGCACCACACAGTGGCTCAATCACACGGTTATTTATCTGTAGTCCTGAAGCTCAGAGGATGTCAAGAATGTGCTTATTTTCCTGAGGATCCTCCTCCTTTTCCACTAGCTCTGGGATTCCCCCAACCAATGTAGAATTCTTTGCTCCTGGAAACTACTGTAGGTGACAGAGTGGGTCTAAGGATCTGGAGGGGTGACTTCACTCTTGAAGAGTGATCTTGGGACCTGTTTAAGAATCAGTGATATTCAGCTGGGTTCCAGTGGGTTATACCAGTGGCTTGTATCCTAGCCACTCAGGAAGCTGAGATCTGAGGCTTGTGGTTCAAAGCTAGACCTGACAGGAAAGTCTTGAGACTCTTAACTCTAATTAACCACCAAAAAACTGGTAATGGAACTGTGCTCAAGTGGTAGAGCGCTAGTCTTGTGCAAAAATGCTAAAGGACAGAATCAAGGCCCTGAGTTCAGGCCCAAGTATCAGCATCAAAACAAACAAACAAACAAACAAACAAAAGATTTGTCTATATTCAGACTAAACACCTTCATTTTAGGGATTGATCCTGTAGATTACAGAGGAAAGGATCCCAGTACTCACCAGCTTTGGCTCCGGAGCATAAGAGGAAGAGCAGCAGAGGAAGAGAAAGATGATGCATCTTCTCAGAGAGGCTGCAGTGGGCAGTGATGATTTTAGCTTTCAGTCTTTGGATTTATTACTCCCAGTAAGCAAGCAAGCAAGCAAGAGGCAGGGCTGGTAACCACAGGAAATGCACAGTCACGTTTCTTCCCTTACCCTAAATTGTCTTTATGATCAAAAGGTTCCCCAGTATCATACTAGAGGTAAAGCTGAAGACTGAACTCCTATATCCTGGCTCCCCATATGAGTTTTCATGCATACGTCCTTTCTGGGGAATGGATATGAGAGACAGGATCTTATCTTTCCCAGTCAGGGAAGCTTGTTAAAGGCCACCAGAAACTTTGGGCCAGGGGTAGTCTTCACACTGAGCATTCAGCAGCATGCACGCTGTTGTCACTGTGGCTCACAGTAGTACATGTATCTTGTGGAATGCACGTATATATGTATGTACAAAGAGATGTACACAAATACACATACCAGTAAGCAAAAGTTGCAGGGATAATATTTATCCTCATCAGCTGTAACCCTCTCCATTTCATTCTTGCCTCTTGCCTTGGTGGATGGTTACTTGCAATTTGAAAAAAAAAAGTAAGTCTGCATATTTTCCTCTGAGCCAGTGTACATTGGCAGAGGAAGAGAGAGACCCAAAGGAGTAGACTGTGAAAGGAAACAGAGCCTAGGGACAGGACTTGACACATACTGTCACAAAGGCAAAAGGGATGAAATGAGCATATCCTCATAGTCATGGATATGATTTATTGTGGTCACACCTATTATGTACATTATTATTTTGACAGCAAACTTGTGAAATAGATATAATCTCAATTGCATTGATCTGACCATCAAGGTTTATGGTCCAGAATTAGATTTGTGTATGTACTACTGGTAGTAGGATTTGAACTCAGAGTCTGGGTGCTATCCCTTAGCTTTTTTGCTCAAGACTGGTACTCTGCCACTTGAACCACAGTTCACTTTTGACTCTGTGTGTGTGTGTATGTGTGTGTGTGTGTGTGTGTGTGTGTGTGTGGTTAATGGGAGATAAGTATCTCATAGACTTCCCTTCTTGGGCTGTCTTTGAATAGTGATCTTCAGATCCCAGGCTCCTGAGTAACTAGAATTATAGGCACTAGTTACCAACACCTAGCTTGACCTACTTCTACAGTTGACATTTCTATGTGGCCAATTTTTCTTTTTAGAAGTTTAAAGTATACATATAATTGATACTAAGCTGATATTCATCATCTGTAAGGTAAGCTGAAAGACCGTTTTTCAACTTATTTATTTTATTATGCTATTGCTTTAACTCCATATGTGGTATTTTCAATATCCACTCCATTCTACTCAAAAATGCTTTTCAATGCCAGTCCTTGGGCTTGAACTAAGGGCCTAGACTTTGGTGTTCAAAAACACATTATCACTTGAGCCATAACTCTACTTCTGGCTTTTTGCTAGTTTATGATAGATAGAGTCTCAGACTTTCCTGCCTGAGGCTGGCTTCTGTGATTCTCAGATCTCAGCCTCTTGATAGGATTACAGATGTGAGCCATCTGCACCCAGCTCTTCTTTCCCTTTCGTCCATCTGGGTCCACAACCTATAGGATGCTCTGCCCACATTCATGGTAGCACTACTTAGTTTCTCTCTTCTAGAAACTCCATCACAAACATACCCAGAGGTGTGCTTTACTAATCTCCCAGGCGCGTCTCAGTCCTTAGCTATCAGATGTACAAATAGTCACAGGCTACTGTTGTGTAATGTATTACCTTTTAGTCTATTCATCCTAACTTGTTATAAATGTTTGAAGAGAGAAAAGAATTGAATTTTCTAATGATTCATACAAGTGTTAACTTCTACAAGTACACATTTTAAAATGTTAAAAAACTGAAAAAATTAATTATCTCAACAATTTTCATTTGGTGGTTTATTTCCGTGATTTTTCTTTCTAATTACCATTCATTCAATAAGTGAGAATTATAGGAGGGAAAGTGCAAGAGTGCCCTTTCTCATGAGTTTGGGAAAGGTATTTTACCTGGCTCTTTTCTCTTAAACATCCTTTCCTGTTTTCTCTTGAAATAGGTCTTGGTTTGTAACCCAGTCTGCTTTCAACCTGGTGATTCTCATGTCTCAGCCTCCTGAGTGCTAAAATGACAGGCATATTCTAGGTATACAGGCACACACCAGTCAGAAAGCTCACTCTTTGGGCCTTTATTGTCTACATCTCATCTGTGTGGCCATGCTGATCATATCTTTTCTGTTGGCCTATGGGGGAAACAAGATAAAGTGATAATTATACTTCCTTTTCCTCTGGTCCACATAATGTTGATTTGGTCTGTTCTGGCTGCCAGTGGTAGAGTCATGCTTGCAAAGTCACCTCTGCTCCTCACCATCACTTCAGAGCCAAGCTTCTGTGTATATTTCTGGAATTGGAAGTGATTGTCTCCTAAGATGGCCCCAGAAAAGCCTCATATTCTTCTTCTACAAGGACTGTTGTATTATGTTGGGGACTCACAAGCCTGTCCTTTTGGTCTAGTATTTCCTCCATGCCTCACAATCTTCATTGCATTTGTGTCTTCAATGGCAGATGTATGGACTACATGGTTTTGGTAAGGCAGATGGGATAGATAGAAGGAAAGGGAACAATATGAGACTAATGAGACAGGTAGTTTCAAAAGCATGAAACAACAGTCATATGATAGGTCCAACCCACCAGGGGTCACTTGTGAATTTTTTTTTTTGGTCATGGGGCTTTAAATCTGGGCCTGGTGGCTGTCCCTGAGCTCTTCAGCTCAAGGCTAATGCTCTACCACTTGAGCCACAGCATCATTTCTGTATTTCTGATGATTAATTGGAGATAAGAGTTCCTGCCTGGATTGGCTTTGAGTCACTATCCTCAGCTCTCAGCCCCCTGAGTAACTAGGATTACAGGAGTGTGCCACCGTTACTTCTATCCAACTGTAGTTGAAGAAAGGGCTGAGGAAGAAAATCAGCTCCATAGGTGGCTCCTAAAGCCCTTGGTTTCCTGGGACAAAAAGTGGGTAGTTCAAAGAGCTTGTTTCACAGCTGGAGATGATGTGGACAGTGGAAGTAAAAATGAGATGTTGATCCGGTGGTCAAAGAGAAGGTAACCCAGCCTGTCTCTTTCTTCCTCAAATCTGAGCTTCTTTTCCCCAGTTTTGAGAATTTTTGATGGGTATCAGTAGCTTACAACTCTAGCTATTCAGGAGGCTGAGCTCTGAGGATTATGGTTCAAAGCCAGCCCAGGCAGGAAATTCCGTGAGAGTCTTATTTCCAATTAACCATCAAAAGTCTACAAGTGAAGCTATGGCTCAAGTGGTAGAGCACTGGCCTTGAGCATAAATGCTCAGGGACAGCACCCAAATCTTGAGTTTAAGCCCCAGGGCTGGCACGAACATGTGCATGCACATACATGTGCACACACACACAAGTAATTAAGATGTTTAAGACATATTAAATGTATGAGTGTGACCCTAAACTATTCTATAGGAGCTTTGTATTAATAGGATAAAAATCTATTCCCTCCAACCCCATGGAATGTTAAGCTGATACCCAACAAAGTCAAGTAGATTTATAGGCACATTCTAGATATTACAAATGAGGGAAACCATGCATCCTATGTTTCTTTGGCTCTGGCTTACTTTGCTTAATATATTTTTCCAAGTCTTTTTATTTCCTTATGAGTGGTAAAATATCATCCTTTCTGATGGATGAGTAGAATTCCATTGTGTATATTTACTGTATTTTCTTGATCCATTCGTCCACTGAGGGGCATCTGGGTTGATTCCATATCTTGCCTATGGTAAACAGTCCTGCAATGAACATGGTTGTGCTGGTTGCTTTAGTGTGGTGTTGTTTGTGTTCTATTGCATAAATGCCCAGGAGTGGGATTGCTGGATCATAGGGTAGCTCTATGTTTAGACTTTTGAGAAACCTCCATACTGCTTGCCAGAGTGGTTGAACAAGTTTGCATTTGTTTCCTTTGGCCACATCCCCGCCAGCATTTGTTATTGTTAGTTTTCTTGATAATAGCCTTTCTAACTGAGCAATACTGTGCAGAGCAATTTACAAATTCAATGCAATATCCATCAAAAATCCAATAACTTTCTTCAAAGAAATAGAAAAAGCAATCAAAAAATTCATATGGAATAATAAAAGACACTGAATAGCAAAAACAATCTGTGGCAGGAAGAAGAGTGCTGGAGGAATATCAATACCAAACTTTAAAGTTTATTATAAAGCCTTAGCAATAAGAACAGCATGGTACTGGCAGAAGAATAGGCCTGAGGACCAATGGAACAGAATAAAAGACCCAGAAATGAACCCACAGACCTCTAGTCACCTAATATTTGATAAGGGATCCAAAAACACAGGTTGGAAGAAAGACAGCTTTGTCAACAAATGTTGCTAGCAAAATGACTATCTATGTGCAAAAAAACTAGATACTCATACATTACCCTGCACCAAAATCAATTTTGAATGGGTCAAAGACCTCAATGTAAGGCCAGATACTCTGAAAATATTATAGGAAGGGGTAGGGGAAACACTAGGCCTACTAGGCATGAGTTGAAACTTCTTCAGTAAAGATCCAGAATCAGAACAAATCAAAAAAAGACTGAATAAATGATATTGCATCAAACAGAAGAATTTCTGCATGGCAAAGGACATAGCTACAAGATATATAGAAAGTCCACAGAAGGAGAGAAGATTTTTTTTTACCAGTTATGCATCAAAGACCTCATATCTAAAATATACTTAGAGCTCAAAAATTAACTCTCCCCGCAAATAAAACCCAGATTTCTTTCTTTCTTTTTTTTTTTTTGGTCAGTCATGGGGCTTGAACTCTGGGCCTGGGCGCTGTCCCTGAGCTCTTCAGCTCAAGGCTAGTGCTCTACCACTTGAGCCACAGCACCATTCTGGCTTTTTCTGCTTATGTGGTACTGAGGAATTGAACCCAGGGCCTCATGCATGCAAAGCAAGCACTCTACCACTGAGCTACCTTCCCAGCCCCAAATT